GCTTTCGAGTACTCCCCCATGTTAGAATACACTGCACCGATGTTGTTATAGGAGGCAGCCAAGTCGGGGTGATGTGAAGGGAAAGTTTTGTTTTTTATTTGAAGGAATCGTTCGTACGATGAAAGTGCTTTCGAATACTCACCCATCTCTGAATAGATGGTACCAAGTTGAAGATAATATTCTGCGCGATCGTTGTCGGAAGATGATTCTTCGAGGAGGATATTATAGAGTAGTTCTGCTTTTGCAGACTCACCCAATCGAATAAGTATCAAACCTAGTCTGGACCATCCTCGTGTTGCGCTCGAAGAGATTTCATTGCGTATATGTGCTGTAAGTGTGGTAAGATAGTGGTCCTCATTACCTGTAAGGGTAAGATTAACTTCCCATAGCCGATCAGTATGATAGTCGTTGATTTGTTCCATTCGATCGATACGAAAAATGGTGTGTGTTGAAAAAAGAATTTCTTCTTCTTGATCTTTGTAGTACCCATGTTTGTTAACGTCGACAAAAGCAATTGATGATTTTTTGCATGATGTTGCATTGATGGTCATAACAAAGAGTATGCCAACTGAATAAGGACCAGCGAATGCCGCCGGTCGTGCAAACACTTCGAGAGAAACATTTCTGTTGCAACTTGTTGAAAGAAAATTGTTGAAAGACATCAATCCGCCTTTTGTTCGTTTCATTTTTTCAAAGTTTTCGATTGATAAACCTTGACCTCGAAAAACTTGAAATAAAGTACTCGTCATTGTGTTAGTGGATTGTTGTTCACGATGTAGAGTCTCAATATGTTGATGTAAATGTCGAATAAAGAACCCCATTTTGAGTATAATATCGACGTCCATTAATCGTAAAGCACGATTGAGCATCGAGTAGATAAAATATGGACCCGTGTACCACCAAATGGGTGTATGAAGACGATATTCTCGTTCGAACTTATCAATATGATTTTCATCAATATCACCTTGAAGACGACAATAGTCAACGAATTCTCTAATAGATTTTGCATCGTCGTCTTCAATGTCCAAAAGTGTTTCTTTTAACAATTGTGTATACATAAACAACGCATCAATACCATTAAAACTGATCGAGATCATAGCTCGATCACAATTTTCACGGTCAATTCGTAATGCTTCACAAATCGGTTCGATTTGTGTGTATACACCTTTTACCTTAGGGACTGTTTTGGTCCATTGTTCATGAATCGATTGGTTATCACAGAAAACATAAATCGATTCTAATTGTGCGCATGCTTCAATATCTGGTATTATTTGCCGTCCGAGTACACCAGATACGATCATAAATACTTTTTCATTTTGAATGCCACTGAGAAAATCAATACACTCGTCAACGTCTGTAAATGTTGTGATTGTTGCTACAATACGTCGTAGACATTGCAAAGGTTTCTTGAAATTTTCGTTGGATTCATCAATATTTGCATCAAGCCATACCAGAAGAAAGTTTTGAAGAACTCGACGCACAGGTCGTGGCAGTACCGCAGTACTATCGGCTGTGGTAGTGTTTATCGCTACTGTCCCACTAGCAGCAATTGTTGTCAGTGTTTGATTTCCCATGATGGGTGAACGAATGAATGCAATAAGCGAGACCTTATTATCCTATATTGACATACAATTGTTTAATCTTTTTGTTGAGGCCTTTTTTCTGGGGGTCGCTATCGACTTTAAAAGCTTCTTCGCTCTATCGTTCGTTTATTTCAAGAATGCTGCTAACGAAAAGACGATGACGAATAGGTGGAGTCGCTGTAAACCAAGCAAGAAGCAAAGAAGAATATCTAAGTAAGCAAAAAATTAGCAAGAAAGGGGGACATGGGCAGCCAAAAATGTCTGCAACACCCGTTAGTTCTCAGTCTGAAACGTATTTCATACCTACAATGACTAGTTACCCTGACAAGAAACGTCCTGCAACCATATCTGCACTATTCTAGAATATTCTTAAGCCTCATCATGCCTAGTCCTTTTGTCTATCTAATCTGTCTAGACTAGCTTGTAAAATAAAAAAGAATAAAAAGTACAAACAAGAAATGAACTCACAGATCTAATCTGACAGTTCTCAACAGTTGATGTGTCTTCTTACACCAGACCATGTTTTACCAATAGGCTGATGTTAGTTTTAACAGTCCAAATAGCAGAAAGATACTCATTCATTTGCTAGACAATTAAATGCTAAACAAAAAGAAGAATACTCTGCCTTTCGACTACCTTGCGGTGTAGGGTGCTGTTCGAAAACAGTTTCAGGAGCCCTATATTTTTCCTACATCTATTACTAAATGTAGCTCTGTATAGAATGCTGGCATGACGCAGAGTTCTTCCGCTTATTCATTTAAGCTCCCCGTGCATAATGACTAACAACATACTAACTACAAGGACTTTCAATGTATCTTAACCACGTAGTCAGTTTATTATCGAATGGATGATCCGAGACAAAGAAGCCGTTAGTGACTTATCCAAGGTCATGTTTTGACTGATGGAGCTGAGTTTCGGACACACTACCGTGTGAGTATGTGTTCAACGTCTTAAACATTCAGCCATATCTGCAACAAATACCGGTCGAGAACAAGTGACTCGACTAGCCTGAAATGTTTCCAGTGGTAGTCAAGAGTAGTCTAAAGCGGTTCTGGCGTTAATGAAGAGAAGATGTACACTAACACCAGAACAATATATAGAAGCGAACTTTTCCCACGTTCTCGATATGCGTAGACCTCAAGATTTGTCCCTAGCATATGACTTTCTTGCCATCGACAAGCACTTGAGTGTTTGTATGAGTCATGTAAACATTTCAAATAGCTCATACGCTGAACGTATGAAAACCGTACGAACGAGCATTTTGAAACGATCGGCTAGAATATAATAATAAAAGCAACATTGCTCAAGACGAAAGAATGTTGCTTGCTATTCAGGTTGTCTGAGGCTGATTGTCCATTCTGATTTTCTTTTAGATTTGCGTATTAAAATGTGTGCTATTTAAACTAGGGTGTGTGGTGTGGGTGTGGAAGGTGTGCGGTATGGGTGGGGCGCGGTGTAGGTGTGGGGTGTGAATGGGTCTGGGTGGGTGTGGGTGTGGTGAAATGATCTACACCCACACCCACACACCCATCCACGTCCACACCCACACCCTCTACTACAAACGTAGTTATTGGTGATAAACTAACTTCGATGAATACGATTGTCTTATGAAGAAACAGTTTGTAGAAAAGCAGCAGTTGAATACACATTCTGTGTTTTATTTTGTGTCTGTTTCGAAAAAGGTCTTTGAATCGTATTGAAAAAAAGAAAAGCATTCTCAGACTGATAAGTATTCACAGAAAAACTCCAACGTGTACATGTGAAGTTATTTTTTGTTCAATTATGAAAATCTGTTTTAGAATAAAGACTTTTTTGAGCCTCTAGGAGAAATTCAAAGGCGAAGAAGATTTTGTTATCAATAGAAAACGAAATTTTATCTAATATTTTACTATTTTATAAAAGAACTTTTCATGTACTACACCTGTGACTGTGGACTCAGCCCACTAGATCGTATGGTTATAGCAAGATTTTTCCACATATAGAAATTAACGAACCTTTCCAGAATAAGCTGCAAAGAAAGACTAAAATGGCTCCATGCTATGTTTTCAAAAAAAAAAACCTATTATTTTGTAAACAACTATTTCCTATTAGCTGTTTCTCATGATTTTTCTAACTCGGAGCTGATACATCGTAATCACGACGAAAGTAAAATATTGTTCATACTGAACTTAGACATCATTATGGATTTAAATTCTAAAAAGTCACTAGCCTCTAGAAATTATTTTTCAAACAAAAGTCGATTTTCTGATGGGGGCCTTCTAATATGTCTTTTTCTATATTTATCAAAGGGAAGTCTTCTGATATGGCTAGAATTTCATCCAGAGATGTCCATCGCGGCTGAAAATCTGCCGCTGCCGCGCCGCGGCCTTAGAAAAAAAAAGCTGCCGCACCGCGACGGTTTATAAAAAAATGTTGCCGCGACGCTGCCGCACCGCGATGACTTATAAAAGAAACGCTGCCGCGCCGCTGCCGCGATGAATTATAAAATAAACGTGCCGCCACCGCGCCGCTGCCGCGACGGTTTTCAAAAAAGTGTTTCTAATTTCACTGCTATGACTATATTTAACCAGAGATATGGGTACTAGTCCATCAGATTTATTCAATATCAGGGCGTTTCATTTGTAAATCCTGAAATTCTATTAAATTCATACAGTTTTTCAATGTCCTCCAAAAAAAATCCTGCCGCTGCCGCGATGGTTTTTTAAAAAACCTACCGCTACCGCGCCGCTGTCGCGGTGATTTTTTAAAAAACCTGCCACTGCCGCGCCGCCACCGCCATCGCGGCAGCGGCAGCGCCACGATGGACATCTCTGATTCCATCGTATTCTGTCAGTAAGGATTTGTTGCTTTCATTTGCAAACCGTACGTTTTAGTTGAGTGCATCGAGATTCAAATAGGTTAATTTGTTGACGCTTCTATACCATTGAAAGCATTCTACTAAAAGTTCTTAAATTCCCTGCTATGTCGCATTTTTTTAAAAGTGAAAACTTTGTCATCCACTATTGATACATTCGGTGAAATGCACACACACAAAAACTTACTCTGTTTAACGTGGTCTACAGTAAGACTGCTCTATTTATAAGTGGTACTTCAATAAAGATAATCGATTGCATACTCTGAGTATCATCAAGCGAAGCTCTCTTAGAATTATTTCATGGTCATCAAAATGCCCCATATGTATGTCTAGTCGTTTTTTTCTTGTTTGTAGCTACTTATTACTTTCAACATTAATTTTATCACTAGTTGAATAATGTTGGAAATAATATATACTTACGTGGTAGATGATACTGGAGTATACAAACTTTGCTTTACGTGCTCACAATCAAATTTGCTCTGTATTTATCATTGACAACATTACTTGGTTTTTTCCGACAAACCTATGGTTACATGAATCAATAACGTATAGCTTTTTCATCAGGTACGCATTTTTTTCATTCCTCTACTCTTCATCACATGTATTTCGTTCTTCATACCTTCTTTCTCTTTCTTTTACTTAACCTTGCATTTCGTGTTGTTGAGATAAGAATATACTGATATTTGTATACGCATTTTGAGTTGTAATGATTCATTGGGCTTTGAGCTTGATTCTGATCTATATAAATATCTACTATTGTGAAATCTTCTTTTCAGTGTAAGTGTGGGTCTGTGTCTAGGCGTTTCTTCAAATCCCTTCTCACACCCGTACCCACACCCTGCTAGATGAAATGTACTTTCTCAAAGAGGTTTTTGACATGATCGAGTATGGGACATTGAATCGGAAAGTGTCACACATAGGACATATTTTTATTGAGTGTGTATAGTCGAAGTTCATTTTTCTTTATAAACATATAAAAATCCGTCTGCAAAATTTTCAGCACAGACAGATGTCAATGAGTAAAATAATAAAAATGTATATCAGGTTTTTGCAGGGTCAATTTTTTTACCTAACAACTAGAAGTAAATCTAAGTAGATTATCGGATCGAGCTAATATTATGAAATCTGCCAAGCTTCGTAGTTGCACTAGGCTCAAGAAAGAAAAACAACATGCTATCTGATTAAATCAAAATAGCTAATAAAAAAGTATTAAGTCCAAATGGTTGTACTACACAACAGAAAAGAAGAAAACAAATTCATTTTGTTAGCTTAATACTCGAGTTGAAGAAAAAACATGTAGAAAATTGCACTTATCGATTTTTCTTTGAATGTGCACAATAGATACAGAGAATTATACTTGGGTGGTATTCTTAAAACAGATTTTTGTTAAATGTTAGCAAATGTAGAACCGTTCTTCATACTTTACTATGAATAGATTCAAAAAATTGTTTTTATTGTGTCAGTTCACCAATTCGCTGCATTACTTTTTGATGTAGGACAGAAAAAAAGTATACACTTTCAACGTATGTATATTTTGTAATTGCGTTTTCTCCTTTCATATACTTGCTCTCTTTACAGGTATTCTATTGATTTCTCTAGCGTTATTCATTTTCGTTCTTGACATTTTTACATGATGAATTTGATAACCAAACATTTTCTTTTCATCATTCGTACAAGACACACGTAAGTAATCAAATATGATAGTACTCATGGACTAAAACTCACATGGCAAAAAAGCAAATGTATTGAAATAAGCGGATTCTTACCATTTTCTAGCATTCATACGATATCTAGTATAACAAAAGAAAAACAATCATAAAACTTGATTATTGTAGATCCATTGATCAGAACGATGATGCTTTGTTCGAACTTCATTCAGTCAACCACTTTCCGTATTTTGTATAAAAACAGTAATTAAATATTTTCAGAAAGATTTTCATACAATATTGATTCTTCTCGGAAAGAATTTGTAAATTTGTAGTTTTTTTTTCTAAAACAGACTCTGTTGAAAAATATTACTTGAAGACAATAATTGAGCAGACATCTTTTATGAAATATTCCATCTTGTTGCTTATACAAGAATAAATAAACATTTCAAAAAAAAGTACGAATGAAACTTCAACAATCGAAAAGATTGAAAAGTAACAATTCAAATAAAACTTTTCTATCTAGTCTAATATTACAAAGCATTTATAGATTTTTCAATTGCTTATCAATAAGAAGAGACGACTAAATCTACCTCCATTGACTCTTCACTAAGGAATTTCAAAGCGTCAATTTTAGCTTCTGATACTACATACGAAGTAGAATATTTCAACATGAGTAATTACGGTTCAGGTTCATCGAACGTCTAAACTAGCTATGAACGATTATTTTTCTATGAAAATCATATTATCAATTCCAATACAACTTTTACGCATCTCTTGTCAAAGAAAAAGCTTTACTTGAACTCCAGATACTATCTAAGCAGCTGGTTTGATAGATATAAAATTAGATATAAAATTATTTGTTTTTGCGATCAAATATAAAATCAATATTGAGAAATTTTCAAAAGCTTCAAACGTGATAATCCGTTATAATGATATTCTCTAAGACGATTATAAAACTAAAGTGAAATATTTGCTAAACATAAAAAAGTCTGACAAGATTCAAAATCGTTTGTTGGAGAAATTTCTTGAAATCAAAATTAAATTTAGCAGTCGAAATTATTATTGTGCTAGAGTTTCTTCTGCTCGAACACTCAAAATTATTCCATATGCATGATATTTAGCCTTTGCCTTGCCTTTCTTTCTCATTGTATGTATTGTTAACCACTTTACTCTCCTTGACACTTTCTCTTCTCTTTTTTCTCTTTCCTACTTGCGTATATAAATATATTTCCTTGATGTCAATGATGCGATTAAAGATACGAAGAAGCTAAACAAAAAACATAACTCTGTCAGTGCTATCGATTCTTTTATCTACAATTATCACAAGATTTCTTTTTTTTTTGCGACCAGTCAGAACTTCGATCGTTTTCTAGTGGTTGAAGTATAACTGAGAAATCAGCGATATTCTTTTCAGGGAGTACTCGAAAATGAATAACCGATAAAATACAGTTTTCGACTGCTCGAAATTTAATATTTGTTGATGCATAATAGAAATATTTAATTTTTTCTTGATAAAATGATTTCTGAGCCAATCGTATGCTTTTTCACATGTGATATCATATTCAACATATGAAGAACACTCAAATATTGATAGTCTATTAACTATTTTATCTAGGACGATACTAAAGACTGCCAGAATGAAAGAAACTTTGTTTTGTACTATCTTATCACATATGATAACTTTTTTATTATTAATAGTTCCAGTGTTCTATGTTTATTTTAATTTATTCTTACATTTTTTATTATTAGATTGAATCGTACTCATGGCACCTATAGATATCGATCGATTAAAGACATTTTTTCTACCACATGGTCTCATATATACTTTTTTGGGTCTCATAATCGTATGTCTCACTATCTTAACCATCGTCTATGCTAGTTTATGGCGTCATACTAAAACTTCTTCAAATAGTTTTGCTGTTGAAAATGGAATTATTGGTTATCCTGTTCGTTTACCGAATGATGGTCGATATGTTCAATGGAATTTCTTACAAATGAATGATGTTTATGAATTATTACCACTTGATGGAGGACGACGAGGTGGTTTAGCTCGTGTTGCTTTTATGCGACAATTATTAAAACAAGAAAATCCAAATACTTATACAATTCTTGCTGGTGATCTTATTTCTCCATCAGCTATAGGTGTATCAATATTGAATGGAACAAGTTTAAATGGAAAACAAATGATTGCCACAATGAATGTATTAGGACTTGATTTTATGACATTTGGAAATCATGAATTTGATTTATCTGAAATAAACTTACTTACTAGAATGAATGAATCAAAATTTACTTGGATTAGTACAAATATATTTCGAAAAGATAGTAATCAAACATTTGGATCAAGTATTCCTCATAAAATATTGACTATTGATACAGTTCGAATTCTTTTCATTGGTTTAACTATTGAGGGAACTGGTAATTATGTTCGAATAATCAATCAATCATCATTAGTTAATTATGTTCAAGAATATTTAAAATTATTTCCAAATGGAACATATGATGTACTTGTTGCTATTACTCATTTATCTATGGCAATAGATATTGAACTTGCTTCAAACATTCCACAAATTGATCTTATTATTGGTGGACATGAACATGAAAATTATTATTATTTAAGAGGAACAAAATATATACCAATTTATAAAGCAGATGGAAATGCTTTTACTGTTTATATACATCGTTGTGCTTATAATTTAGATACAAAACGTCTTCGTATTTATAGTACTTTAGCACCAGTAACATCTGCAGTACCAGAAGAAGAGAATACAGCAACCGTAGCAAATTATTGGTTTAATTTAGGTATTCAAGGATTTCAAGCGTTAGGTTATGAACCAAATGTAACTGTATCATGTTTACCGATCGGTATTGAATTAGATGGTAGAGGTCAATCTTGTAAAAGTTATGTTACATCTTTAACTGCTGCAATATGTGAAAGTTTATTATTATTAACAGAAGCAAATAAAACAACAATTGGAATAATGAATGGAGGAACAGTACGCATTGATGATATTCTTCGTGAAACTATTACACAATATGATATTTTACGTACATTACCTTTTCCAGATCGTGTTGTTGCTCTTTCTGTTCCTGGTCAAGTACTTGCTCAAGTTCTCACTACTGGTATGTCTTTCAAAGGATATGGAATGTTTATTGCTTATACTAGAGTGGAAACATTAGATAATGGTAATACATGGTTATTTAATGGAACAGATATATCAAAAAGTGGTCTTTATTATAACGTGGCAACATTAGCATATTTACGAAATAATACACAATTAAACAATCCAAATGTGACAACTTTATACGAATCTAATGTAACATTGCCAAAAGGTTTAATGGAATATTTAAAAATAAAATATCCACCTTGTTAGAAAAAAATAGATTTCATATTTAAAAGTTAAATAAAATATATCTGTAAACTCTATTGCACTTGAGAAATGAAATATCCAGAAAATCCATTTTCATAACAAAAAAGTCTTAAAATATTTGAATTAAACTGATAATAGAAGACATGAGATAGCATAACATCATTTGATAATAAAAATAATTGAATGATTGGAAGAAGTGTATTAGAAAAAAAATTAAAATTAAGAATTCATCAACCTTATATAACCTTTCTTCTTGTATACAACTTGTTTATATCATTGACCTAATTATTTGTATTTTGATTTATGAATATATTTTTGCTAAATTAAGTTTACTATTATGAAAGATTTTGATAAACTCATAAGCAACACAAGACAAATGAGCATCAGTAAACTTGTATTTTGCTTATATTGGATTTTAGAAGATTTTCTATTGATATAAAGATGCTACAAACATTAATACAAAATAAAAATGAAAAACAGCAGAAAAACTGGAAGTGCACCACGAAGAGGCTTATAACAGGCGCTTTTTGTCTTGAGAATAACAATATAACTTAAAATGTTATAATTGCTCAACTAGTTTTATATTTCTATTAATATTTCTTGCAGATGTTGTTGTTTGAATAAACTTTTTCAATAGCTTGTGGGATGTGAATGTGGTTGATAAAGATCCACACCCACATTCTCCTATTTAAACGATACGTATTTGAGTGTAATATTAAAGTCAAATAAAAAAACCAATATTTTTAGTCAATTATATTTGTGAATACATACGTTCATCTGATAACTTCGTCTGTTATTAAAGATGCGAAATTAAGTGAAACATTAGGTAAGTATTTTTGGAATGTCTAAGAAAATCTTTTTTTTTTATTTTGTATTGTTCTTGTCCGTTAAGAAAAGGAAAAACTTTTCTATAGGCCTCCATTGCATTTATCTTTATTTTATTCGAAAAAAGATCCACCAATAACACTCAATTCATTTATATGAATATTGGATACACTTGAGAATACAAACTAATTCAGTCATTTCGAAACATTTGTTCAAGTGTTTCATACGGTCGAAACTATTTTTCATATTTATGAACATCTATTTCACATGAACAATTTTCAGTGCTTATGTACACTGATATAAAAAAACGTTTCTTCATGAGTAGGGTCTTGATTGATTCAGTTCATTTCAAGTCTGTTAACATCAACAATCATAATATATTTTGATATAATAGAAGTTGAAAACTTCACAACTGACCAATTGTTGATGATTATATTGAAAACCATATCATCATGTATTGATCATACTTATTTTTATGATTTTTCAAGCTACTCGAACATTGATGGTAGAAACCATTAACTTTATTTAGTCTTTTATAGAATCTATCCAGAAAAGAACAGAATGTACAGTTTCGAAATAGTTATAAATATGAGTTTTGTTTTCAAGTGAACGTACGTTCGAGTTTTATTATATCAAAGAACCAGAACAAAAAATGACTACACTAACTACCTAACGATTAACAACAGATATGTGTATATGTATATATAGTGATAAACACATTATCATGTAATAGAAATATTACAACGTAATAACAGAAAACATTAAAGTTAACATCAAAATTTCTTTGACACATGCGTACAGAAAGAGAACGAGGAAAGGAACGATCATACACATATGTTTTTCTAGAAACAATAAATCCTTACACTAAAAATAAAGATTAATTTTGTGTACTATCTCCATTTTCACTTTATTGTCAAACCAGTATGTTTTTATTGAATAATAAACAGTGAATGATAAATAATTACAAGTGAATGCGATATTAATGTAGATAAATCTTAGATTGTACTTCTTCCATTGAATATGAAACTATGTTTTCATTTTATTTTTCATTAGATGAATATTGTTTTCGGTCTTAATTAGTTCTTCGTGAGTGGGTGGTAAAGTTTTACGCCTAATTTCGATCGATTTTTCGAAGTACTCAAGGGCTTTTGAATAATTTCTCTTACAATCATATAGTGCTCCCAGATTATTGTAAGTTGAAGCAATGTCTGGATGGTCACTTGGTAAAACTTTTTGTCGAATCTTGAGAGCTTTACTAAAATAATCTAGACTCAAATCATATTGTTCCATCAATCCGTACGTTGTCGCTATCTTATGATAAGTTTTAGCGAGTTCAAGAGAATCAGACGAAAGTGTGGCCTCTTGGATTTCAACTGCTTTTTTCAGATTGAACAATGCTTGGTCATAATCTTTTCGTACGTACCAATGTAGCGCTCCAATCGAACTGTAACACGCTCCAACATCGGCATGATTGGGCCCTAAAAGTCGTTGTCTTATATGCAATGCTTCTTTGAGATGTTCAAGACTTTCGTCAACCTTCTTGCATCGTCCATAGGCTCTACCTAAACCTAATTCGGCGGTTCCACTAGCAAGTTGAATTTCATCAAGCATTCTTCTGTAGTATTTTTGTGCTTGCTCATATTCACCCATTTCTATCAGAATTTTTCCGAGAGAATCTAAATCAGTATCATCACCAATTGTACTTTTCATGTAAGAAAATGTTTCTTTCAAATGATAATCATCTTCACTTGCTAGTAAGACACGAGCTACCCACATTCGTTCCTCTTTATCTTCATTGACTTCTTCAATTCGAAATAATGCACCAAGCATAATTAATACTTCATCTTCTTTTTGACAATAACTCATTTGACTAATATTAGCAAAGGCTTTCGTTTGTAAACGCGGGTCAATTTTGATTTCGAATATAATTGATTGAAGATTATTCGTTCTGCGAGTAATTCGAGTAAATCGAAGAGCAGTCGACCGCTTACGACTTGTCGATAAAAATGAATTCATTGAAACAAATTCACCAATGCTTTTTTTAATTAGTTCAAGTTCATCATTTTCAATAAGTTGACCACGATAAACCTGAATAATATTTCGATCATCACTAGTACGAATAAATTTCTCGTATTCACTTTTGATCTGTTTAGCTATATCAGTAATAAAAAATCGAAGAGCAAATAACATATCAAAATCTTGTACACGTAAGGCTTTATTCATCATTCGATAAAAACATGATTCACGTGTATACCACCATATTGCATTTTCTGCTTTATAATTATTTTCAAATTCATCAATAGTTTTTATCTCTTTTACATTATCTTTATAACTAAGTTTGCAAATATTTAACAATTCTTTACGATCATTAGATTTATGATGCATACGAAGAAGAACTTCAATAAACAATTGAAACCATAAAAAAATAGCATTACGAACTTGAAGAGATTGAGAACTAGAGGTAATTATTGATATTGATGCACCATCATCTATTTTACTTCGAACAATTTGATCTTTCGATATTTGATCAATGAGTTTAGCACGTTCAGTAAAAACACCATTGACCTAAAGTATTTTAGTGAAAAAAAAACATGAGGTAAGAGTCATTATAGAATATTGAACCTTGTTATATTGATTAGTCCATAGGTCATTTGTTTTCTCATCTTGACAAAAGACATAACATGCAGAAAAATGTGGCAGATCATGAAGTCGAGGTACGATTTGTCGACCTAATGAACTTGATACAATGAGAACAACTTTTTCTTTTGTAATTTGTCGAAGATATTGTTCACATTCATCTGATTGATCAAATGTTCGAAGATGATTAATTACTTGACGAAGTTCTTTCTGAGTTTCAATATTATCTTGTCTTGAATAAATATTTTGATCGAGCCACAAACACGCAAACGACTCGAGATTAGAATTCATCGAGTTGTCGGCGTGTATGTTATTTTATGTGCGTGCGTAAATTTACTTTTGAATGAAATATTTTTCATCTTTATTTTCTTTGACGACAGTAAAAAGACTCTCTCTCTCCATATACGTGGACAATATTGACAGAAACAAAATACGCGATGATGACAAAAATCAGCATTTGCGTAGCAGAAAAAGAACGGAGTAACAGATCAAACACGCTAGAAAAGCAAATTATATCGATTTCTGCTCAAGTCAAGACTCACTCGTTCACACTAAGCAATTAAATCTCCAATGAGAGTGGAGGACACATCTCTCTAATGTAGGTAAAGTGCATAATAGAAAATATTAATGCAATGAGAAATGTCTGTATCGTGTGTGTACAATCTTTACACCAAGCTAGTTTGGAAATACGTGCTGCTGTACACTTGGCAGGTGAAATTTACACGTTGTTTTTAATATCTTCAACGTTATGTTAGTGTTTGCATTAGAAGCACTGGTGGGACGATTCGATGAAGATTTGAGACGTTTCCCCTAGAAGATAATGGCTCGATCATGATCATAAAAAGTATTTTAAAGCTCATTTCTCTGCTGAAAAAAATCTTTGATATAGGGACAATCGTTCCCGGTGTCCCTTGAATCCGTCGGTGAGTACGTGATATAGAAAAATAAAATAGATACAATCAAAAATCATTAAACTAGGAAGAAATATAATTACACGCTGTTTTTTTCTGTAGAACCAGTAAACAAAGATAGATCATGAACTTTGTTGTTTAACAATAAAATATTTATAAGAGAGGTAGAAGTATTTATCAAAATATTGCTGAGAAACATCAATATTATCATCCATAATAACATAATATAAAACAAGCATCAAAATCCGTGTTCGATACAAACAAGAGCGACTATATTATCAAAAAAAAAACATTGTAACAATAATTATTCTTACTAACTAAATTAATATTCTACATCAAATATTTATTCGACAATGCATTGCAGATATAATCAACAGAATTTAAAATTTTCTCAAGTATCTTAAATGAGAAAAAAAAAGACAAATAAAAAAGGAGCAATTATTATTGAGGATAAACACAATAAAAATAGTGCGGATATGAGTAATATTAAAACAACGATTCACCTTCACAGCCACTTCTTAAATTTTCTAAAAGAAAAAAATGTCGAATTTGTTTTTTGAATAGATTTTTCGCATCACAGTAATGCTAACGGAATTGATATTTTCTCTATTGCATAACTGTGAAAAAAATGAAAAAATTACAAACGGATCTGATTTTATTTGAAATATGCTAAAATATTTCTTACAAATTCTGGACTTTCGGTCTAATTTTCAAAGTCGTAGTAGAAAAAAGGGAGACAAAGTTCGAAATAGAGAATGTCAAAATACTAAAAAACGATCAATTTCAGACAAATTTTAGTTATTGTTCTTGATTGATGAGAGTTTTGTTGTGTACCGGATTATACGAGCATCAGCATTTTATAGAACGTGACTGGATTGTGATCAGATAATTTTTTATAATACAACCAAAATACCTTGAGGTGTTCGATCGAGACTTTTTTGTCCTGAAAAAGAAACATTCAGATCGATGCTAAGGTTGTCAACATACAGAGCAAAAAACGCTGTGTTTTTATGTACAATAGTTAGCTTTGAGTATTAACTTTCATGGGAACACGCTTTCATAAGACGTTCTTTATCTATAGAGATATAAGAACTCAGAGTTTAACAGTTTAATAGGCTTCAATCTCACAAACTTGATGCCTACATGAAAAACCTCTCTAAGAAACAAACTCGACAGTTCTGTAGAGATCAGAACTAGAATGTGAACAAATGTTAATGTTTGCAAAGATCGAAAACAAAAGCACGGCATGTCCTATGGAGTACCTCATTTTTCTCGAAAAATCTCTCCGAACAGCCAATCATGTACGCAAGTAGTTTCTTCGTCTCTAAATATGCATGTAAATACTATATTGATAATAAAAACAAGATGATAACATTGAACAGATACACTGATGCGACAATAAGCGAGATTAAATGTGGCTACCAATACAACAACAACAACAACGATACGTAAGAACAACATCAAACTTTTCAATCGAGGATATTTTGATAAAGTCATATATTTTGTTCGCAAGCAAATCAATGACGAAAAATTTATTGAAAATAATTCGATTGTATTTCTTTCACTAACATTTACAATGTTCTTTCAGTGGCAGTTCCAACAGTTGCTCGATGTGTATGGTAGAAGCCAACTATTGTCTTCATTTCTCGTCTTAATTCTGGTAAAGTGGAAAAGCACACAAAAGGCAATAGTAATGGAACAAAATAAGTAAGAAAGAGTGCAATTTGCTGTGGTACAGCACTTACACTATCCGGTAAACCACAAAGGCGAGCAATTGTTATGACAAGCATAGGTATATTGAATACAAGATAAAGAACCGTGATGGACAACATTTGAATTGCCATCTTACGATGTTTACGCCAATGAATGCTTCGATGAAATTGCCATCGACGTACGATAATACGAATGAGTAGACCAATACTGAAGATGGCAATGATCAAACTAGATAGACATCCATGCACCATCATATCCCACATGCCAATCACTGGATCAAGAAGATAGCATGGCATAGCACCACATACAGGCAGTGTGTAGTCAAATGAATTTGAGCAAGAAGGAAAGAGAATCATCACAATATAATAGATGGTTAAATATAGGATAAGTATGGTCAACGAGGCATAGTGAACAAGTATACGTCTCTTCCGAGTAGATATCCAACGGTCATGAAAAATGAGAATATGTCGTTCGATTGAAGCCCACGCAAGAATCATAGTGCTGGAACTATAAAAACCAATATCAACTAACCACCAGAATAAACAGCGTGCCGGTGTCTCAGGCCATACTTTTCCAAGTCGAATGAAATCAAGGTACAATGTCACATCGATTAATTGACAAGGTAATACAGCGATGAGTAACACAATGATTGTATGATTGCTTAATACATGTTGAGAAGGCCGACGCAGTAATAAATAGTAAAGAATAAACAGAGTACAAGCAATAGCTGGAATATCGAAAAACAGTAATAACCAGAAGCGAACTGGGCGAGACAATGGAACTTCGCCGATATAAATCGTAACTGATTCGTTACTTTCCATCTCAAGTAAAGGACGTCAAATGTTAGAAATTTGTCAGCATCATTCGTGATGAGTTGCGAGACAAGTACAAAATTTATATAAATTATTATTTTTTTTTGTGAAATACCTCGTTGATTAATGACTAGTGAAGTATAATCAAAGACAAATGAATCATCCACCATTGTTCCTTTTTAATGATGAAAGCAACTTCTTCACTATTCTTTTTTTGACTCTGGAGGGAATTACATTAAAAACGTCAGATTTCAGATAGACGATGTTGATGGGAGACTATTGAATGATGCTTAATTACAGTTAGAGAGCTGCTTTTAACCGGAAGTGTCTAGTGTTTCATAAGTCTTGAAGCATGAAAAAATTATTTTATATAAGAACGGAAAATAATTTCTAAATAAATGTTTCTTATATCAGTCTGGAGTACTCATGACAGTCTTTCAAGTATCATAGTACTGGATAGTATCTTTTTGCTGCAATGGTAAAAATATAACATGGTAATGTGAGGATGAATATTTTGCAATCGTTCAAGGTGATGTTTTTTGATAAAGATTATTTTGATAAAGTGCTGAACATATTCTGATGACGTGCAACTAGTTACACTTTGACGCAAGTTATATGTGATTAATAACTGGGTTGAAATGGATAAAATATATGAAAATATGATATGCGGTACAAAAAATAAAGAAGATATACTGTATTATTGAGCTGTTGATAAGTCAGTTAATAATCGAATTTTATCTTAAGAAGGTAACGTTAAACTTGTTGACGTATGGCTCACTAGAAGTGTATGTGAAATATTAAAAAAAAAGTAAGAGTAGAACAATTTAAAGTTTTAACTAATTGATAATTAGATTGAACAAAAAATGAAAAACAAATGGATAAAATTTCTAAGAAACTTGACGAAGTAATAAGAAGTCGTAGACAATAAATATTTACGTGATAGTTAATTGAGATTATTATGCAACCACATTAATATATATATTTATAAGATAGGATGTTTTAGTTTTTTACGTGAATACTTTGTCTCGTCTCAAGACTTATGAAACATCCTGTATGTATGATGAAATCAATTATGAATACATGATACAAAAAACGTTTTCTCAGAGTTGTTTCTTTATTAAAACATGAAGAATTCGTCTATGAATATGGTATTTTATTTGTTATTAAGTATTGATTGTATATTAAAATTGAATAGATTGACAAAAAAAAATTATTTTCGTTTTTGTGTTTGTTAAATATGTGATAAAGTAAAAGGATTCTGAGATATGTTTGATTTTCAAATTCAATTTTAATTCTTTGAGGACAAGATTACTTTAAAAAGAAAAACAAATTAAATTTTTCAAAATTCGGAAATAATTTATTTACTGCGAAGAGAGTTAACTAATTAACTTACGATATTTTCTTCTCAATCTCAATATCTCCAATACAAAATGAGGTGCAACACATCGAAAGCTGTTTCAAAGGTACATGCTACAAAAATTACTTAATAGGGTGGGTGTGGGTGTGGGTACAGTGAATCATAAAATCAACACCCATACCCCACAGCCACACCCTGAACACACTCTTCACATATTTTTGTCTGCTGTCAACATCATCGCAGCGATATATCCTCTTTTCTATACTGATGAGTTAATATATGAATATTATGAAGATATCCTAAAGAATAAAAAGTTTACAAAGGACAATTTATATAAGTGAAGAAAAAGATAAAATATTTCGTCATACAATACACCAGAGGAGTAGCTAGAGGAAGGTGTTAGAAAGTCTAGAGCTCCTTAAGGGGACCCCCCCCCCCCCCCCCCCCCCCCCCTCAGAAACGATTTCTCACCTAAGATAGACCATTTGAGCTGAAACTTTCAGGAACAAGTGGTCCTGGTGAGATATGCTTGTGATAAACATTTCAGCTCGATACACCCGAGTAGATCGAACTTACGGCCTGTTTTCATACCTCCCAGGAAAATAGGAATCACTCAGTCATAGTAAAGGCTAGAGAGCTCGGGATGGCGTCAAATTACAGCTAGTCTCTGTACGCAACTTTTCATCAGACGGATTTTTGAAATTCCTTTCCATTAATTTTTTATGACCATTTTACTGAGCAGGTTTGCAAAAACATGTCACTAGAGCGACAATAAATTCCACTTTTCTCAGCCCAGGAGAAATGTGTCAAAAATCCGTTTGATGAAAAGTTAGCCATGATTCAGAGCTTTAAAACAAAAAAAAATATTGAATAATACCCAGGGCCGGGACGGAATGATTCCAATTTTCCTGCTAAGAAACCATATTCTGAGAAAAGCGCCAAAGAAGTTTTAGAAATGGAGTTTTCATTCAAATGCAGAAAATAGTGGTATATTGATAATATTTATGTGAAATTTTTGAAAGCACGCAATAGATGGTGTAAGCTAGCACTACAGGTCGTACTATATGATATAAGAATGTTTATTCCATGCTGATAGAAGTAAAAAAGTAGTCTTCCCAAAAATAACAAAAACCGCGAAAATCTCTCCGAAAACCGGGTACTGAGGTGGAAATCTCCTACGAAGGTCTATAAAAATTTGATCTTTTTTTAGAAATTTATATATATTCTGAAAGAGGAAACTTCGCTGCATCTTCCTATGATAAAAACTCGACTTCGATTACTTTTCCAAAAAATGGATTTTCAGAGGGGGGCCCTTAAGGTAAGTGCTTCTGAAAGGGAACACAAATAAATTTTTTTATGCCGTGAAAACATTATTTTCACTACGTTGGACATCACTCTTTAAAAATTTTTAGCTACACCCATGACACGCATATAAAATCACCTTTCACTGTTTTGTGAAATCTTTTCATATAACATAACCAACGATTTATTTGATTAATTAATTTATCAAATAATTATCAGCCATCAATTTGTAATTGATTAATTTTTTTTTCAAAATAATCGATTCAAATAACCATCGAAATAATCAAAGATTTTATTTTTGAGAAAAAGGTTAAACCATAATGAAAATCAATCAGAATTAATAATTTAATAAACTTTGGGTATGGATGTGGGGATAAGATAGGTGCGGGTGGGATGCGAGAGTGTGGGTCAAATGCTTCACTCACCTCAGCATTCATATCCACACCCACATCTACACCCACAGAAGCAGCTCCAAACAGGCCTAAAAAATATCGAGGTCAAGTGATGCGCTTATTTAGAAAAAAAGACTGTATATCGATGCTTTTAATGATTTATTCTCGCTCAACATATCTCGTCATCTTAATGTCCACTGTTATTGTATCAGAAAAGTAGTTTTTGTTTTCACCATAGCCAACCTCGAATTGTATAATATCACCATAATTTAAACGTAAACCTCTTCGAAAAAATCCTCCGCTACTTCGATTAATTGTCATGGATGCTAATGTAACATTGTTAATTGATAGATGTACATCAACTGTGGCATAACCATTGCTAAGAGGACCATTTAGAAACAATGAAGGCCCTTGTGAAATAAATGTAGCATCAATATCATAGATTTCATCAGTATTTTGCATTGTATAACGAACGCATGCGCGATTACCATTTGGCGCCGGATGCATTGTCATGTGACCTTGAGGCACATAGAACTCATTAAAGTATTCAAGTGAGTTTGTTCGTGCCATACCAATGCAACCGTCAGCGCAGATATCAGCAAGACTATTTCTAGTATAATAAATTGCATGACCATTCATTTTTATATTTTGATACGATCCAGCAGCATACGAGTCATGCATGGCATTAGGCATATAATCGCTATACAGTTGAAAACTGAGATGATCATTGGGTTTGACAAAGCCAAATGACCATCGCGAATTCGGATTTGTTCCATTAAAATATTCTGTTGGGTTTTCGACGACTAAAGATTGAACATAAATAATAGAAGTACATAGTAACAGGAATATTACAAAAAACAAGAAATGATAAGACTTTTTTTGAAGTTTCCCTAAAATTCGTTTATTTTTATCATTTTGAAGTAAACTGTGGTCCCTAATTACATTTTTCAAGTTTATTTCACAAAACACAGGCATTGAAAATATTTGTGCCGACGGTGTTCCAAAGATATCGTCAAAAAATTCTTTTTTCGGCAGTTACAATCAGATGCGCTTTTAGAATCAGGACTTCAGACTACGAATACCGCAATGAGAGCTTGGAAAATGAGGTATGATTGAATTTCCTAAGAAAGAAATTATGAAAAATTCCATGAAGTTCAAAAACGCGTAAACTGGGGAAAGTATTTTCAGAAACCTAAAGGATGCATAGTAATTTTAGAAATTTCAAAAGCCAGCGACTTTTTCGAGGTAAGAGAGATTTCGAAGGCATCATCTTCAAAACATCCGAATTGGCCGTAAATTTCTTTTCTCAAAACGTGAGCACTGCTGCTTAAAACTAGGTTGTTTGTTGCATAGCCCGAGCCACTGTATTTGTCTTAACAGTTTTTGTTTGGTTCATCATAGAATAAGCATCCGTTTGAAGTTAGCAAGAGGTGTTTTATCTATCGCTAATTTCTGAGCGTTTCATTAATCTGATCTTTTAACACGAAAAAGTTTGAACTTTAAAAAGAATGATCAAATGAAGAACGTCGTGGGGCGTAGCATCCCTCGAAGGTTTGAAATATGTATGTAATCATTATAAAATATAAGCTAAATTTGTTGCTGCATTCTCTAAACTTGAGTCAAGTGACGTCCAGAACTGTAGAATTTGCCTCTAAAATGAAAAATTCTCCGAACAGCAAAATGTTCAAGAAAAATTATCCATACTATAAAATTCAATTAAAGATTTTTTTGGAAAAGTATCAAATTTTTTCCATTACACGAATTAGGTGCTAATTTTACCTATGTCTCAGATATTGCTTTCGATTGGTTCAAAGTATCTTTAATATTTTCAACTGCTTAAGTAAATACATTCGCCGTTTTGTTTAGAATTTACTTGTGTATCTGATGGCGCGAGAATTAGAATTTTGTATGATAAGTCTGACTTGTGATAAGATAATGTTTTATAATGCACTCAAAACTATGCGAAGTGTTAAAAATTTCTCAACGATAGAAAATAAAAGTGCGGTACGTACTATGAGGCAATCATTATTTTCAAAAATTTTTCTCAGATACTAACAAGTATCTTAAATTTTTTCGGAATGATGATGTGTACATGCGAATAGATTCTGCATCTCTGGCCACGTCTTCAATAGTTATACCAAAGGGAGAGGTGTACATGGGGTTGTGACTGAGACTTGGCAAGAGTCTTCAAGGCATCCACAACTAGACTCATACCCACATCCTCATGAGATGCTGTCTTTAACTTTTAACAAAATTTCTACTGATACACAGTCAGAGCATCATTTTTATGATATTTTCAATACTTTCACAAAGGCTATACTGGAAAAAAAATAGTACGTATTTTTTTATCACTGCAACAGTAAGAAGTATCCCAAGACCATCAGACATGGAGAAAGGAGAAGGAGATGGTTGATGACTCAGAAAACCATTTCAAACATTTTTGCTAAAATTAATTAGAGTTTTAGAAAAGCAAGTATGTTTTATGAGTATTGATGAGTAAGAAAACGAGTATAGCTCTGCAAATTTGGTTATGAAAAACGAAAATTTTTCAAGATTGAAGGATCATTCTCCGAACCTCTTTCTTTCCTGACTTGGGACACCCCTGCTTATCGTGTAGACAATAATTTATAATTTTCAGTTTCTATATCTCAAACAAAAGATCTAATCAAACTGTACATAAATACAAACTATTGAACAATTTGATTTTCTTCACACTGAACATGGTGAGAAATTTAAATTTTAGGTCTATGTTAGACTCTAAAATACTGAACAAATAGATATGTTGTAGTATGTGGAGGATTTTTTCGAGAACTATGATGCCTTTTAGGGTAGAAACCATTTCAAATTTCAGAGGTTGCTCTAGCTGTCAAATCATAGTATCTGATCGACTACTACACAGACACACATACATTCCAGACAAAGAAAAAATTACTTTCAGAAGAGTGCTATATTATTCGTAATGTTTTATATGCATGATGTGGTAATTAGTAAAGTATTACGATTTAGTAGCCTAGAAAAATCTTTTTAATATGAAATGACTTCTAGCTGCAACATTTCAATCATCCTAAAAATATTCTCAAAATACTGCCACGTATCTGTTGTTTTCCTTGTTTTTAGAGTCTAATGTAAACCAAAAATCTGTATTCCTGACTATGTTGGATGCAGAGAAAATCAAACCGTCCCATGCTATGTATTTGACTATAGTTTAGCTAGATCTTGGATGTAAGATATAGAAACGAAAAAAAATGATGTTTTGATTACGCGATACCAGTTGATCCTCTCTTGAATCACTTCTAGAAGATAAAAGAAAACGGGTTATTTCGTTTTAGAGAAACA